AATCACCGGTCTAGCCTCCGCCTAACACAACGATAATTATCCCTAATTAATAATGGCTCTTACTGAAGCTAAACTAATCCTTCTACAAACTCACAGAATGGTAAAAGACCATTTTACCCCTCCATGGGCTTGATAGCCCACAAATTGACCAAGCCCTAAAAGTAAACAAAAAGTCAACGACAGGGAGTACGATGCTCATACCAGCTCTCTACGCTGGGCGTACTCGGCTGCCATGCAGGTATCGGGGATGCTCGACCCCTACGATGTGCGTATTGGGATTACGCCCAACGTACGTCCCAGTTTCACTCTTCTCACTCATTTGGTCTTAATCAGTTAAGACCTTGGCTCATATCATAGATCTGGACTCCCTAAAAGCTCTTACTCCATAAAGTCAGTGACTTTAAGCCTTTGCATGGCTGATATGGTCACCAACACACAAAACATTGACTCTCTTAACTCAAAAAGATCATATCTCATGCATGGCTTGATTCCAACGACCAAGATTGGATTTTTATGACATTACACCACTGATTACACTCTAGGGGGGGGTTGATCATAGTCTCTGGAGCTTAATATCTCATAAAGTCTCAAACTTTTGGGACAAAAACCCTAAATACTCTACTATGATGCACAAAACAAAAGGATGAGAAAGCTTGAAGCTTTATACCTCTATGTGAAGCTCTCAACTCAGATTTGCTCAGATCCAAGGGCCTGACCTTTCACTCCTTCTCCAAAGCTTCTTCTTCACTACAAGAACACACCAATACTCTCAAAGGCTCTCAAATGCACTCACAAGCTCATAAGCTCTAAGACTGAAGGTTTAGGGCACAAGAGGGTTTGTTGTCTGAGAATGGTGACCGGGAATGAGGTCATCATATCCTTTATATAGGGGACTCACCCCAAATTAGGGTTTTCACTCTGGGCCTAGTACGATGGGCGTACTCTCTGGTATACTGGGCGTACTAGGTGGCTTCCGCATCAAATGCACGATGATGAGTACGCTGAGCGTACACTCACGTACGCCCCGCGTACTCATCCACCACCTTTTCTCAAATAAGGGCCAAAATGGACAAGTACACAAAGTTCGAGGTTAACAAGGTATACCTGAACTTGGGATGTTACACCAAATTCATTCCTACTCGACGAGTCAGGGCATCCAACTCGTCGAGTAGACCTTTCAAAATGGAAGTAAAGCTGTAACGTTTATACCTGAGAGTCGGGGTGTTACAATGCCATTTTGCTAACATGTATCAATGTGTACTTACGACCTACATGTCATTTCGTTAACACATGAGCCTATAGGCTCCTGAGCTCTTTGTCGTTCCGCAATCACCCCCTAACTAATTCCTAATAACTTATAAGCATATCAACAATCACGCACATAGATATTACATATTCGGCTCTACAGACACATAGAAAACTATACTATAGGCTCTACAATGCTAGTTCCTATATCCTAACATACATGGATATATACTGGAATACATAATATAGTGAGATGAACTCATCTGGACAATTACTTAGACGATTGAAAGGATCTGGGCGATCCGATTGGTGATCCAACAAACGGGTAACATGCCTAACGAGAATTAACTTATAATAATATAACTTATTAATTTCTATGACAATATGGTAACGTAGGCTAGACCTATCGCTGATCCCAATGAATATTGATAAATCTATCAACTAAGGATCAACCAGGCAGAACAGTTGGGAGACAGGATCATTTTGACATATAACTTTTCTGAAATCGAACAACCAAACCAACGTGACCATTCTAGACACCACTCCGGTAAGTAGATTAATCAGTATAACGACTTGGAATTACTGAGAAATCTTAATTATAGGTTCCTAGTAATAACTTATCACTATAATTATAAATTACACGAAGGCAGAGTAAGTGTAGGTCACTTACAGAGTACTATTGATGAGAACCGGGATCTAAGCAGGCAGAACACTGACTCGAGAACTCCTACTCGAAGATTACAACTAGCTGAGCACTCAGGGATTTCGCAGGGCTTCGCCACAATACATAAATCTAAGGAAAATGGCTTAAAAGTAAGGAGTAACTCAAGAGAAAATATGTGTAGGGGTGTCGGGAATGGAGCATATACGGAGAGCTCTATATATAGCCAAGAAAAGTGATGCACGCCGCGCACATATAGGGGTGCTCCAGAGAGCATGTCATCAAGTATTTATTCTTGGCAAATATGTAGCAAATCATAACAAAACAAGGCAAATATATAGCAAATCATAACAAAACAAGGCAATTAAGTGTTATTCAATTTGTTAACAAAAAAACCTAGGAGATGTTATATGTTTAAACACTTTAACCCATTATATGTCAAGCTAGGTTTGCAGCTCATCTAAACGGCCACTTAGCAATGGTCACAACTCATAAACAGCCAATCAGAAAAAATGAACCTCAATCGGTAGAAAGAAGGTTTGAATAAACAATTTAAAGGGTGCAGATTTAAACAAATCAAAGCATAACAAAGCTCGGCAAGAACTTGGCAACACATAAACAACCAATCGGTAGAAAGAAAGCTTGAAGAATATCTATTTGTATCAAGATTTTAAACAACAAATCGGGTTTGCACCTGAGGAAGACAACAATGAAAAGGTGGGTGGCCTCGGTGGAGGAAGGAGGAAGAAATTGTGGAGGTTGAGGCTGCGTTCTTCTTGCATTGATCTTCTTGTGTTTGCTTGTGTTCTGTTCTTGAGATGTTAGGGCAAAATGGAGATTACCGATTTTGTTCTCAATCCTTCATTCCTTGCAGACATAATAAGGAGGTATCTTCGGACTAAGTCCCAAGTTTGGATCGAGTCCAAGGTTTTAGAAGGGAAAACAAACATGCTGATTGATGATTGAGGACCCGGTCCAACTTTGGACCCGGGTATAAGACAAATCGAACAGCCCCTAAATGTCCCCCTCAACGTAAAATACGTTTGTGAATGGAAAGTGTGGATTGACTTTATTGTATCTCAAGGTGGGGATTTTTTAGGTTTGTGCGACACTTAAAAGCTAAATCAAAGGACCATAAAGTCAAAAGTTGGTATTGACCACTCTTTATTACATTGAGCTTTTGCTTTACTCCTTACTTTTCGGTTCCCCTTTCCATAGTATTCCTCTCATTACTTTGTCCTTGTTCTCTCCCATGTTCCCATACATCTTCAAGAAACTAGAAGCATCAATTTAAGCCATCGTTGACGATAATCCTTGAAGAAATGTTAATCTGCAATACACCAAATTATTTATTTTGCAAAGAATACAATCTTTCTGTTATTGTTCACATTCACACCAACAAGAATACCTACCCTACTTACAAAACCATACAATCACCCAAACAATAATACACACAATGCACAAACACAACAAATCAACAAATCAATCAATCAATCAACCACATTCAACTACAACTATACATCATTTCATGATGAAGTATCTAATTGGGGTTCTGAGAAGGTTCTCTTGAGACGTGGGGATGGAGTTGATGGAGGTGAGGCAGTTAACCTTCTAGAAGAAATCCCACCCCCACCCGGGGTAGTAGTTATAATTACAGGTGTAACCTCTTCAATGCCTTCATCCAAATACACAACATCTTGCATTGTTAGTTGATGATATTCAACAATTTCCCTCAAGAATCGATTCTCACGTGCATATACTGAATTCTCATTTGCCAATCGCGCCTTTTCTGCTAAAAGTGACTCAAGTTGTTCACGTATCTGATAATTCAAAATATCATAACACAAAAATTACAAATGAATATGTACGTTAAATTATTTCAAAATATAAATGAAAATGAATACGTGCCATGTCATCATCTGCAGGGTGATCTCCATTTTCAAGAGCCTCTCGTAGCATTTTGTTTTCTTCTTCAAGTTGACTACTTCTTTCTTTTGCAAATGCCAGATCAGCTTTTACAGTTTTCAGCTCCCGAAGAAGTAGTTTTGCTTTTGCAGCTGTTGCAATCGCCACCTGTCACACATAACACACAATTCTTACTACTAAAAAGTTGAGACCATGATATGACAGAACAGGTTGTACTATGTTTGGACAAAGATTGAAACTTTTTGTTGGCATGATTTGAAATTTTTTTGAAATTGTGGTACATCATCAACCACAGATATGTAATTACACATTTGCCACCTTACGTCGCGAGATGCCTTGATTTGATAATCTTGGTTTGTCTGTTGTTGTTGTTGTTGTGTGGATTCCATTCCAGGGACCTGATTCCGATTCCAATTCTGATTCTGATTCTGGTTCTGATTCGGGTCATCATTCATTCCTTTTCTCCTGTTCTGAAGTTTGCGTGTTTCTTGGATGATTCCATGAGTTTTCTTGTCCACAATTGTTCGCCCTTCCTGATAATAAATGTAAGTAAGAATACATCATTTATGCTTCTATGATTTTTTTATTGACAAAATCAAAATCAAAGCAACCAAGCTCCAAAATCACTGAAGACAGAAAAGGAGCAGGTGAAAACAGAAATTGAATTGAATATCTTTTCAAATCCCTAAACATCAGTTAATGCTAATTACCTCAAAGGCATTTCCAATTGAGTCACCAATCTGATTAAGTGAAGATGTGAGTTTATCTAAGCCCTTCCTTAATCTTGGATTATCCAATTTTCTGGAGTTCTCAAAAGACTCATAACGATGCTCAACCTGAGTGTCAGTAAACTTTAAACATCATATATGGAAATATCAAGATAGTGGTGTCAATTGTCAAACAACAAATAAATAATACTTTTTTATTTGCACTGTGAAAGTTAATATCTACCTGGTTGCTTGTTGAGACTGTTTCTGGCTTCACACTGCTAATAGGAGGATCAAAACGTTTAGTAGAGTCATTATCATCATCAAGGATTGATTTAGCCTTCCTTGCTAAAACACCCCAAAATCCCCCTGCTTCATTTGTGCTTCCCATTGATGTATAGTCATAGGTAGCAGAGCCCTGCATTGCATTACCAGGTATACCATCTTATCAGCAGAAAGAAGGATGCTATTCATTCTCTAATCTGGTAACTCAAGTGTGTGTTTTCAGTTGTTCTTAACATAATTACCAACCAAAATCTAAAATTGAAGAAGAGATCTTCCAAGTAAAATGACTAAATTAGTAACACAGAGCATTACATTAGAATTAGCAATACACCTTCTGATAAGCAAAAGCAAATGCCTTAAGAGTTAAGTCAGAACTATATTCCTTACTAGTATATTAGTTTTCTTTCATTGGACACCTTTCAGATTAAACTATACATCAAGTATTTGGATTTTGAAGCCAGAAACGTGTCTGATACTAACAATTGTAAGCGGATCCAATCGAAGGTGCTAAAACAAAAGGCAAAATAGCAGAAAAAGAATTGAATGACTAAAAGAAAGAAATGAAATCGAAGTTTGTTATGAGGTTTCTCAGTTTACACATGATTATTTAAGTAAGAGAGTAGAAGATCAAAATCAGAGAACCTTGGATCGGTCTTTAGAAGAGGAGTGGGAAGTAGAGTTGGCGTAAGCGGAGGAGAGAGAAGAATCTCGATGAGCGGCGGATGCTCTGATCGCTTGAGCAGCAAGTGATGAGGACGGAGCAGCGGAAGAAGTGGTGGTGGTCGTGTCGCGGTTGCTGGGAGAATGGAGGATCTCTTCATTGAAGGTGGAAGCCCTAGAAATTCCCTGCTTTCTACGGTACGCCATCTAAGATTGACAGATTAATAAATAAGATTTTTAGCAGGAAAATGACCGCCGTGAAGCCACCGCCACCGGCCACCGGCCACCGTTGAAGATACGATGGTGAGCGGATCCGAGAGAATGATAAAACTAAAAGCAGGTAGTTTTCAAAAGCATCACCAACACTCAACAACGCGTCCTTTTAAGTTTTAAGTAACCAACTTACATTTTTTATTTTTCAACGCAAACCATATTTTGAAAAGTATTTAATATTTATATTTTATATATAAATCATATTGTCAGTTGTTAAAATATTATCAAAGTATGCAGCTTTTTACAACTAATAATAATAATAATAACTAAAACACATTCTTTTGCAATTTGTGGCCTCCTGATGAATAACCAACCAGTTGCACATATGTTTATATGATTAAGGTTACAAATATTTGAATTTATAAACTATAAACATTTGGATTTCTTTTTATGGATGTACCTTTGATGGTAATGTTTTATTTTTTATTTTTAAGTTTTTTATATACATATTGAAAATGGTGAAGTGTATATTGCTTTTGTTTATTGAATTAATCTAATCTTTAAAAAATGTTATCTTCTTAAGCAAGGTTTCATATTAGTTGGAGGCCACCATTTAAAAGCTTTGGAATATATATATTTTACACCCCTACACGCATCATTCACAGATTGTATTGAAAAGAAAGAACGCTACTACACAACTGGATTTTAGATAGTCAAATCATTAAATATCAATTATGGCAATTAGCAACAGGGTACGTTTCTTCTACACGATCAGATTCTCCTCCGCCACTCATCTTCCCCACGCATCTTTGATTTCAAGAACCCTAAATCCAACGGCGCACGAGTCATCAATGGGCTGTTGAATAACCCTCTTGACGTGCTTTCATCGCAATCTCTACCATTTGTCATCCTTAGAACTTGGGAAGTACTCAACAAAGAGGAATCTTGATCTCTACTCATGATGATTCGATTCTGAGTGTCTGTTTTCATTGTGGAATCTTGTTTTCCATCATTCAAGACAGAATGACAAGAACCAAACAAGATCCAATTCTTTGTTTGACCAGTTAATGGGATTTGAGGATCTTGTCTTGTTGTTTGATGATCATGAGAGACGGAGGCATCATCTCCAGACAAGCTCTGGAGCTTTCGTTTGGCCACCATTTGGGCAGTCGGACCTAAGTCTTTCACAAACTGCATTAGGCTTTTCCGGTAGCCATGCTCCTGGTGGTGGTTTAACTACAAATTAAAAGGACAACATATATATTTGATCATTTCAACTTATAATAATATAATGATCATCAACAAGAATTAGTATCATAAATATATATATATATATATATATATATATATATATATATATATATATATATATGTGAGTGAACTTAATTACATAGACTAAGGATTTTGGAAACTTGTCTTCGTTGATCATGTCCAGGTGGGGTTTGTAAGTGGATCGTCGATCTGCTTCAACGGAATCACATCTGTTACCATCTCGACTGCCTCCTGTGCATGTACCATAGATATACTGTAAGTTATTTTAATTGTAGTTTTACTAACAATAATTCTAGGATTTCGTAGGATCAGTTATATATATGAGTATACTAGTATTTTCTGAAGTTTTTGAGAATGATTTGCCGTTGAACTCATCCTGGGATCTTCTGCAAGATCTTCGCCTTGTCCCTGAGAATTCTGACTCAAAGTTTTCTGGATTGCTTCTCAGTACATGGAAAACCCTCTTCGCTAGTTTATGTATTGCATGAGCCTGTACGTAATAAAATGAGAGTATTGGATGTTATTTTCAGCTTCGTATATATTCATCAATGGATGCATATGTATATATATACCTGTCTAAAGAAAATGGTACCAGAAGAATTAAAATGCATCGCATTTCCTGATATCAGAAATACATCATGCTGCATGATCGTTAATATTTTCCAGCCATGAAAGAGAGTTTATATAT